GCCTAAACTCAAAAAGGCCTAAGAAAAAGGTACCAGGGGCATCTCATGGGGCCCCCTACTGACCCCGGGCCCTTGAGTTTCCAAATGGTCAGTCCGCCCCTGCACACAGCCATTAATGTCTAAACCGCTGGCAACAAAAGTGACTCCACCCCTAAGTCACAATGTCCAAATTGGGCCCAAAGTGTCAATATTTTGTGTGACCACCATTATTTTCCAGCACTGCCTTAACGCTCTTGGGCATAGAGTTCACCAGAGCTTCACAGGTTGACACTGGAGTCCTCTTCCACTCCTCCATGACGACATCACTGAGCTGGTGGATGCTAGAGACCTTGCGCTCCTCCACCTTGTGTTTCAGGATGCCCCACAGATGCTCAATAGGGTTTAGGTCTGGAGACATGCTTGGCCAGTCCATCACCTTTACCCTCAGCTTCTTTAGCAAGGCAGTGGTTGTCTTGGAGGTGTGTTTGGGGTCGTTATCATGTTGGAATACTGCCCTGCGGCCCAGTCTCCCGAAGGGAGGGGATCATGCTCTGCTTCAGTATGTCACAGTACATGTTGGCATTCATGGTTCCCTCAATGAACTGTAGCTCCCCAGTGCCGGCAGCACTCATGCAACCCCAGACCATGACACTCCCACCACCATGCTTGACTGTAGGCAAGACACTTGTCTTTGTACTCCTCACCTGGTTGCCATCACACACGCTTGACACCATCTGAACCAAATTAGTTTATCTTGGTGTCATCAGACCACAGGACATGGTTCCAGTAAACCATAACCTTAGTCTGCTTGTCTTCAGTAAACTGTTTGCAGGCTTTCTTGTGCATCATCTTTAGAAGAGGCTTCCTTCTGGGACAACAGCCATGCAGACCAATTTGATGCAGTGTGCAGTGTATGGTCTGAGCACTGACAGGCTGACCCCCCACCCCTTCAACCTCTGCAGCAATGCTGGCAGCACTCCTATGTCTATTTCCCAAAGACAACCTCTGGCTATGACGCTGAGTTAATGCACTCAACTTCTTTGGTCGGCATGGCGAGGCCTGTTCTGAGTGGAACCTGCCCTGTTAAACCTCCGTCTGGTCTTGGCCACTGTGCTGCAGCTGTTTCAGGGTCTTGGCAATCTCCTTATAGCCTAGGCCACCTTTATGTAGAGCAACAATTTTTTTTCAGATCCTCAGAGAGTTCTTTGCCATGAGGTGCCATGTTGACCTTCCAGTGACCAGTATGAGAGCGTGAGAGCGTGAGAGCGATTACACCAAATTTAACACACCTGCTCCCCATTCACACCTGAGACCTTGTAACACTAACGAGTCACATGACACCAGGGAGGGAAAATGGCTAATTGGGCCCAATTTGGACATTTTCACTTAGGGGTTTACTCATTTTTGTTGCCAGCGGTTTAGACATGAATGTGAGTTATTTTGAGAGGACAGCAAATTTACACTGTTATACAAGCTGTACACTCACTACGTCACATTGTAGCAAAGTGTCATTTCTTCACTGTTGTCACATGAAAAGATATAATAAAATATTTACAAAAATGTGAGGGGTGGACTCGCTTCTGGGAGATACTATATACCATATAAAAAAAGGTGAAAGCCCCGGTGCCGCACACCATCACTGAAGTAAAAGCAGCCTTAGCCCTGCTTCGTTCAGACCACATGCCCGACGCCAGTTGAGCCACATTTCACTTGACCCCCCCAAAAAATGCTGCGTGCATACTAAAGCCACAATGCTATGCATCATGCCACAGCAATAAAATGATCAGCAAACACAAATGCTCCTGCGCTTGGGGATGGACTCGATGCTACAACCACATTAAGAATGTCCTGGAACATGCACACCTTGCTGCCCTCAGGGCTCTGAGGAAGAGGCAAGTCCTCGAAACGCGTCAGCCTTTTGGATGTCTAAACTCCCTATTGCGGACTGTTACTCAGCGCGGTGTTGATCCAGCTGTTCTTTTATGATGTGCCTTGACTATATTGTCGTTTGTGAGTACAACACCTACTTTATTATTTTTTATTAAACATTTTTTATGGTAATGTACTAGGCCTGTGCGCCCTCTTTTTGTTCTTTCCCCATTCAGCAATAAAATGATCCCTGTCTTTTATGCTCAGTGGGCAATATAGTCTTCAGAACACATTTAAATTCATAGTGCCCACGTCTCAACTCTCAAATGCATGTGGCGGTGGTGACAAAATGTCTCCTCCTGTCAAACACCCCCTGTAAAGCGATCCACTGTGGATCACTCTTTAGAGGGCTAACGCTAAGATAAACGAGCCCTAACTTTTTCATGAAGATTTTGGTTGCAGAAAGTGTCCTAAGTGCAGTGATCTAGTCGAACTGATACACAGTAATTATTTACTTTAAGTCTTTGTTGCTTGATGTCAGAAGTGTGCAGATAGCATTCCAGATTTGAGTAGCGCTCAGTACTTTCCAATGAGCTCTTGGCACATGCTGTCAGCCATTCACATGCCAATTATGTGCAGAAACAGATGTGTGAGACTGTGAATTCCATTTCAGTTGGGAATTTCTGGCCACCTATAGAATAGAGCAACTTGAAAAATATTTGGCATGAACATATCAATTTCCTCCAAGGTAAAACTTGTTCAATGTTTTCTTGCTAGCTATCTTGAAGATGATCTGTCATCTTCACATCAAGCTTTTTTAAAGGGTCAAGACTTCCCTGTCCCCCTCCCTTTTCTCACAAGTTGTAGGGGTGGCACAGTGGCTTAGTGGTTAGCACTCCTTCCTTGGTCCTTGGTTCAAGTCTTGGACAGGACACTACCTGCATGGATTTTGCATTTTTTCCCTGTGTTTACACCATCTTTTCCGCACTACAAAGACCTTTTGTTAGGTATATTGGCTCCTGGCTGAAACTGGCCCTATATGATATTCTACTGAGTGCGGCCAAAAAAAATTTCTGCCTCACCATCTATAGTATAGTAGAGAAAAGGGCCTTCTGCTCCCAGTGAGAAAAAGTGTTACTGAAATGTAAATTAATTTAAAAAATCCTGCTTTTTGTAGATGCAAGAAAATATCACCTAAAAATCTCTAAAAAGTTTTTTCAGGTCTGCAGCCTCTTCCAGAGGGGGTCCCAGTTCCCCTGATGTATTTTGTATTATGGAGAATGTAGTGTGAATAAAGAAGCTCCAAGGTGGGCAAGAACACTAAAGCACAGAGATCTCTCTATAGTAAAATATCCCACCCCACCTCCACTTCCCCCACCAAAAGGATAAAAAACAGATTTCACATTAGGCTGAAATTTTCCTTTTAGCTGAACTAACTCTTAATAAGTTGGTGCAAAGTGCTTAACTCATGGCAGACTATCCAGTTTCATGTTATTAAAGCTAATCTAAACCCATGAACGAACACTGAATGTATTGCAGTCTACCCCTCCTTAGTGGCTTCATTCATTTTATTTTTTTACACTTTTCTCCTTCCAGAACACACACTTCCTGTCCAAGGGTGACAAGTGTATTTTATCTAGAAGGAGCAGTGTTGTCACCCAAGGAAGGAAGTATATTAAGACAATTCTAACTGATAACTGCCTGCAGAGGAAGACAGCACAGGAAACTAACCTTTGAATGTAGTTGAAAGAATTGTCATTGGTTAATACACTTTTGCATATTATCCCTGCATATTTTGGGCTAAAGCAGGGCTCTCCAAATCTCAGTACAAGGCCACATTGTATATTTTACAAATATTTGCAGGCCGAAAAAAAAATTAGTTTTAAAAATGAATACCCCCCATTACATCAGGGTCCCCATTATAGTTCATTTTACATCAGGGCCCCTTCTTAGCCTCCTCACATAAGAGTCCCCCTTACATGAGGGTCCTCATCAAAGACCCACTTACATAAAAGTCCCCCATACATCAGTGTCCCCATAAGAGTCTCCCTTACGTCACTGATACCTCTAACTTCTGGTCTGATTTGGAGTGAGATTTGGTTATATCATTACTGTGATAGACACTGTTCTCTTTGCTGAAGAGAAAGCCATAGCTAGTTATCTGCAGTGCAAGTACCTCCCTGCTTGATTCACACATTCTATGAATCTGTGCTTCCTCGCCACATCCCCCCCCCCACCACCACTGTTTCTTAATATTCCCCAACCAGTATTCGATTACCAATCTTAAAGGAGATAGCTTTGACATGTGAAAGAAAAGTCTGGCTCAGCTACCAATATGGCTGCCTCCACACAGCTGCATTGTAGAGCAAGACATGTCAGTAATATTAACAATTTCAGCTGCAGTGCGACTGCCCTGCCTGACTTTTTTTGGGCACAGCTTCTACAGTACAGGTCTGCTCTAACTATAGCTAAGTTGGGGACCAGACTGTGCTGTCTAGCAGGGGTACCTGGATCACATGCCTAGCTGAACAGAATTGCAAATCTTCTAGCAGGTAAGACAGGTCACATATATGTATTTATCATGTTGTCTAGAGTTTAACTTTAAAGCAGAACAACTTAATCCCACCTATAATAGTTCCCACATTTCATTTCACTATTTTACCAGCGACTTGTAAAAATGCAGATGTGTCTGGTATGTAGCTCAGGCGTTTTTTTTTGGCTTCTGTGGATCAGATTTTTCTTCCAGATTTGGACACAATTATCTGTATTGTCTTTCCAGAACAAGGCAAAGAAATCCAACATTTTTCTGAAAACAAAAAAAAAAATAGCAATGATGTTTCTGTTTGGCGATGTGTCTTCTCAGCAGTTCTTCTCACATTATCCCTTTATTGTTATTCTAGCCGAAAAGAGTCTTTTCTATGTATGCCTCCCGCTAGAATTGTGGTGTACTTTTATTTGATTCCCAGCTGTGCAACAGTCCATCCTGTTTCTTCAATTCATTTGTTTTATTAGCTGCTAAGCAAGTGACAAGTTACTGGGTCTCAGGCAGTATTATTGGAACGGGCTCTACAAGGCTGGGAAATCACTGACTGATGTTTCTTTAGGTCCGCCATTGCAAAATGAATAAACCCAAGGTGAAAACGGAATGTGTGGTCCAGGGGCGAACTGACCATTTGGAAACTCGCGCACTGCCCGAGGGCCCGGGGTCAGTAGGGGGCCCCATGAGATGCCCCTGGTACCTTTTTCATACGCTTTTTTGAGTTTGGGCAAGGACACAGGGGCCCCATGATCCCCTATTGCCCGGGGGCCTCATGAGTTGTCAGTCCGCCCCTGGTGTGGTCATTTCTACTGTCTATGTAGCCAGGTATTGGTGTCTGCTAAGCCCATTCACATATGGCAATTGCAATTCCACATCACTGCAAAACATGCAGAGCACATTTGGGTGTCATTTATCTTAAGTAGCACCCCAAATGCCACAAGTGTAAAATCGTTTCTGGCTCAAGGCCAAAATTTGGTCTGAGCTTATTTGGAGCAACAGTCATGTATTGGGCAGCCTTTTGAAGTGAATGGGCTGCCCCATGCACAATAGGTGTTTGCACTCAAGAATCTGCAAACAAAATCAAGAGCATAGTGTGTATGGGACCTAAGAAAGGATAAAGCATGTCTTTGGTGTTATTAAAGCTGACCATACATTATACAATTTAGATGTAGATTTTTAAAGCTGTATAATATGTCCACAGTTAAACAATGCCTTCAATGTGTATCTAATTAGGCAGGCCCTCATACTACATAGCTGATAGAAGATCTTAATCAATCTTGATACAATCACCTTTAGCTTTACCAAAACTATGTAATATAAGGGCAAACCTAAACAATCCATTCAGTTATTGTTAATGAGACATGCCCTTGTACTAGAGAACTTATAGTAGATCTAAAGGAGATTGTGCAATCAGGTTGTAAAGTGTATGGTCAGCCTAAGACATACATCCTAACTTTCTGAGATGAAGTACATTAGGAAAGGACTTACCCCTGCTGTGCCTCCCAGTTATGTGGACCATGAAGTATTCATATGCCATTGATAAATCCATGAGTGTTTTTTTTCTTCAGTACTACTGTTCCTTTTATGGTGTTTTTTTTTAGAAAACAGATGCATGAAAGGTTTGTAATGGAACACTTTTGGTAGCTGAAAATAGTACATTTTTATAGTGCATTTTGGGTGGCACAGTGACTTAGTAGTTAGTGCCCATGATTTGCTTCAGTGGGATCCTTCAAATCCTGACCAGAATTTGGAGTTTGCATATTCTTTTTGTGTTTGAATGGATTTGCTCCAGGATTTGCTCCAGGAAAATGCCTTTTGTGCCAAAAGACAGGACAATGTCTTTTGGCACACTAACTTATGAAGGTCGGTGCTCCCCGTGACTGTGCGTGCAGCCTTGTGCTGCCATCTGTTGGAATGTTACAAAACTAGTCTTGAAACTTTTTGATACCACCTCGTATACTGTTGTATTTGGAGAACAGCTTTTAAATGTTGTATAGGTTAGAGTAGTGTTTCTAAACCTTTTTTCAATAAACCCTTTAAAATTCTGCACACTATTCCAAAAATGTCAAAAAAACAAAATAGTTTTACATACAATGGCAACATCAACACACATAGGACATCCAACATTAGAGGTGATTTATTATTACAAACAAGGGCGGACTGACCATTTGGAAACTCGGGCACTGCCCGAGGGCCCGGGGTCAGTAGGGGCCCCATGAGATGCCCCTGGTACCTTTTTCATAGGCTTTTTTGAGTTTGGGCAAGGACACAGGGGCCGCATGATCCCCTATTGCCCAGGGGCCCCATGAGTTGTCAGTCCACCCCTGATTACAAAGCAATACACCTATACACACTGGTACCGAATAGTATTCCAGCATTTCTCTTCTTCTTCAATTTCTCTGCCTCACTTAGCCAATGTAACCCTTATGCTGATAGAGGCAGGCAGGAGAGGGGCAAACAAGGATGACTCCACTCCCTTAGCTTGCCTGCTTGGTGCACAAGGTTGGAATGTTGCAGAATAAAAAATGTGCCTTTGTGTTACAAAAAAAGTCAGGCTTGATCCACCTGTCAGCTTATTGACAAGTTATTGGCAATCTGATGCGATGTTTAGGCATTTAGCCAAGGTATACCTATAAAGTCCAGAAGGCACCCCAGAGTGCCATGGCACCCTGGTTGAAAGGGCCGGGTTAGAAGATATATATTTTGTTGTGCTTTGCTTGGTGCTGCAATTTTTTTTGTTATTATGCTTTAAAGCTGTTGTAGCACTACCCCCAAAGGAACCGCTAGTTAAGATGGGTCCTCTGTTGCTGGCCTCAACCTTCCTAAATACATCAGCCCCTCTAACACACCAGGCTGAGCATTCAAAAACACAATTACACACAGAAATCGCTTACAGTGACATTAGTACACAGCTATAATGCTATTGTAAAGAATGCAAGCACCAGACCATTCAGTACAACAAACTAAATATATACTCATAAAATAAAGCAGGTAAAGGTAGACACAGATAAGGGGTGAAATGAATAACAATGGTAGTGATACACTTAAAATACAGAATATAACCCCAAATATCTGCGCTCAGAAAGAAAGAGATGTTGATACTAAAACTAATAGTAGCTGGACATTATACTCTGATACCAGGCATTCCAAATATTGTAGCCTCAACGTGACCCGGACCCAACCTGTGGCCTATCCTGGGTGCCACTGCACTTCTTCCAGGAGCCCGGTGTAGTAAGACGCTGCCTGGGGGAAGTCCCTACCAGCCACCCGGCCCTCAACCCAGTCCCGGGGACCCGCGGCCTGCTGAGGCCTAAATATCTGAAGAACCTGTGCACCCATCCTTGGGGTGGCGAGGCTCCTACAATGCCGAGGCCCTGTTAGAGGATATCTGCTACCTGGGGGAGGGAACATCTGAGCAGTTTATACACCCCCCCCCCCCCCATGAAAATTGATCCTGTCTTAACCGTCATTTTGCTGATTACAGTGCAAAATTGTATTCCTCCAAAGTTGCCTACACACCACAGGACTTGTCCTACTATCTGGATCGTGCTGAACTGCCGTCTCTCTCCCTGACCCTGAAGGTACAATTGGAGGCTCCTATTTCCTTGGAGGAGATCCAACAGGCGATTGGTGCTCTCCAATCTGGCAAAACGCCGGGTCCGGATGGCTTTCCAATTGAATTCTATAAAACAAATATTGAACAACTGGCCCCCCACCTCCAAACACTTTTTAGTGGACTACTTGAGACAGTAGTATGCCCCAAGTGGTGATAGTGGTGATTTTAAAGCCTGGGAAGGACCCGACTCAATGCTCCTCTTATCGGCCAATCTCCCTGTTGAACACTGATGCGAAAATACTCGCTGGGAGGGTGTGCTCAATTATCTCTACATTAGTACACAATGATCAAATGGGCTTTATGCCGGGTAAAGGAACTGACATCAACATATGGAAACTATTCACCCACATTTCCATGGCTCGGGACAGCGATGACCTGGGTGTGGTGCTATCCCTTAACGCCGAAAAGACCTTAGATTCGGTTGAATGGGAATATCTATGGGAGACCCTGAGACGTTTCGGGTTTGGCCCTAATTTCATTTCATGGGTCAGATGCCTTTACAGTGCACTGTTCGTGAGAGTACATACTAACAATATTTTTTCTCCCCCTTTTGCACTCCATAGGGGCACTCGGCAGGGTTGCCCTGGCAATCGAGCCCTTGGCTTGCCTGATCCGTTCCTCCAAGACCTTGCACGGGCTACCGGTGGGCTACTGGGAGGATAGAGTTTCCATGTATACGAATGACACTCTTATATCTGAAGGACTGCAATTCATCTGTTAGAGTGGCACTGGACCTTATCGATCACTTCAGCAGTTACTCCGTGATATGCATAAATTAGGAAAAGTCAATATTATTTCCTCTTGCGCCGGGACCTTTGCTTGACATTTCATTTACCCCTATTAGATTGGTTTCCAAAGTTAAATACTTGGGTGTAATGGTGCAGTGCAACCTGACAAAATTCCTTTCAGACAATCTTCACCCTCTACTACAACAACACTTGCAGACTAAATGTAATGCCTGGTCTTCCCTTCCTATTAGCACCATAGGCCGAGTAGATCTTTTTAAAATGATATTCCTTCCTAAGTTAATTTACTTTCTTTGACATACGCCGGTACAAATCCCGTAGTCCTTTTTCCGTCGTATGGATGGTATTGTCTCTGTGTTTCTCTGGGCTGGGAGGGCCCCCAGACTTTCCCGATCTACCTTGCACTTACCCATTAATCGGGGCGGCCTGGCACTACCTAAGCTGCTTTTATATTATTGGGCGGCTTTTCTGGTCACAGTGTGCTGGTGGCTCTCCTGGCCTAGGGATAATGCAGCGGTAAGCCTGGAGGCGGCGGTATTGGACTTTAATGCAGAACTTCGTAACCTGGTTCATAGAGGACCCTAGTCCATCCTGGCCATCACTACTCCTATGATGACGACCCCGAAGGTGTGGAGACAGGCTAGGGTTCAGTACAGTGTAAACAACACCTACTCCTCTGTAATAGAGATGCTGGGTGCAATAACTAAAAGCAAGTCATATACTCACATAAAACCAACGTGTAGTCATGCAGGTACCTTTTAAGCAGCATTTAAACCATCACATATTCTACACATGTGAAATAGCATCTACCAAATGAACACCTACCCTGGCACATCATCACATTCACCCGGCACTCCAAGAAATAACAGAATCCAACTGCAATATTCTTGCACTGTCAAAACCTCCACTTTTATTATCACACAGTAGGATATATCTTATAGTCATCACAATCTGCATAATAACACACACCAGTAAGAGTGTGAGCATTACAGCATGAAACAGACACATCATTTGACAGTGTCTCAGCATAGAATTAATACATTACCAAAGCTATGTTTAGAAGCTGGGAGATACAAATCCCATCGGAACCAAACTATCCAGGGGGTGACGGGGAAGCCGTAGGTGCGACCAGTCGATGAGCCCATATAGCCTTGGCAAAAATCTCAGCGTAAGAGCGTCCTCTGGCCACTAAGCGGGGGGCTTCTACTGGTCTGGCCCCGGACCTCCGCCGTATAAACCAATTTTCTGAAAGCTGTCCAATAGTGGGTGGCACCACACCCACCACAGGAGGAGCTAGTAGAAGGGTTCCGTGAGGATAACATAGTCACGTTCAACCACCATATTCGTTATCTGAAAAGTCATACTTTTGCTTCTTATCTACCCCAAATCTCTTTGCATCTCCCCCAGACTTAAGGATTTCTAAATTAGACGTCTTTAAAGAGGTTTTTATCTCCTAATGTGAGGTTACTAGATGTCATAAACACGTTTCACTCCATAAACAAGTTTTTATCTTCCTGTCAGCAGAATATCTTGTGACTTTGTTCCTTTGACCTAGAGAAATGACACATCAGTCACCTCTCATGCTCCTGGCATTTGGGCAACAATGCTTTATTGTACAAATTACCCAAGAAACAAAGGGTCCAAGGCCAACACATTTCATAGGCATTACATCCCCTCACACTCCACTCTGGGGCAATCCTGCACTCCCCCATCTGCACACAATACAGGATCCTGTGGTGTGGGCTAGGTATGGAATAAAAATGTTGAGTCGTATTACGCCTTGTGGTGTCCTGCTCTCCTTCAATGAACTGAAACACAACCATGGCTTGACTAACTGGATGTTTTTCCAGTTTCTACAATTGTGACATGCTTTGACTGCCCAATTTCCTTCTCCCCCTGACATACTGACTGACCCTTTAGAAAACTTGTTGTTAACAGAGGACTTGCCTAAACCTTTATCCTCTCTCCATTCCTCGTTGCTACCCCTATCTACCCCTAGAATGCAGTCACTTTTCAGTAAATGGCATGCAGACCATCCGTCCCTGTTGGAGGATGATTGGGAAGATTGTCTTTTACAAGGCCTCCCTACCATGATCTCAGCCAGGGACCAATTTATACAGCTAAAATTTATCCATAGAGTATATTACACTCCGCGGTGACTGGCTGCGATATATCCGGGTAGATCGACAACATGACCTCGTTGTGATATGGCAGAAGGCATGTTCCGCCATATGTTTTGGGAATGTTCAAAACTATGTCCTTTTTGGACCAGGATATTAGATACTATTAACACTCTGGGTAAACTGTCCATTCCCATGGATCAGCTGGTTATGTTGTTAGGCCTCATTGACCTCGTGGAAACATCTAAGCATAGCAAACGGTTTGTCTTTTATTCTCTCTATTACACTTGAAGAGAAATTTTGTTGAGATGGAAGCTGTCTACCCCACCCACGGTTTTGCGTTGGAAGTCGGCAATCAATGGTGCGCTTCCCTTGTATAAACTTACATATATGAGTTGCTACTGTCCAGCTAAATGTGATTGAATATGGGCTGGGTGAGTGGAGGCACAGGGCCTTAAGGTATATTCATTGGTGTAATGACTGGTATTTCCACTTGAAGTTGTGACAAGTTTGTAATATTTGTCTGACTTGTTACTATTTGTGTTCCCTACCTTTCTTCTTCACCCATCCCCCTCTTTCCCCTTCTTGCCCTTCCCGCTCTTTTTTCTTCCTGCTCCGGCTCTCACCCTGTGATTTTCTTCTCAACTCTTTTCTCTTCTGGGTTGTTACCATCTGAACCGTAAAATGTATGACTCTGCTCGGGACAACAGGTTAATTCTGTAAGATTTTCAGCATTGGAAGTTTGTATGTGCTGCTTATCTTCTGTATGCCACGAGCTTGACTGTTCTCATGTACCTTGGTTTGTTTCTACTTTTGTACAATTTTAATAAACGCAACTGTTAAAAAAAAAAAAGAAGAGTGCTGCTCAGTTGCGCATGTGTGGTAGCGTGTGTGCGTGGTTCCGCCCTACGCG